AGTTTTGTAGTACATGTTATGTGGTATATCGCTTATTGTTACATTTCAATCACAGTTCCCATGATCACTGTTAAATTAGCTTTTATAGCTTTATTTTGGTGATTTCGAAAACGTTTTGGTTTAGCCGTGTGTGTTTGTTTGTTGTAGTACAGAGTTAGACCGATAACTTTAATTTAAATTGTCCTATGGTTGTTATTGTTTGATTTGCATCCCACTGGGATTTTTGCACACAGCGTTCACATACGGTGCTTTTTCTGGAAGACTTTGCTGGTTTTTCCTGGATTTTTCTGTTTGCGCGTAGTCACTTTAAGGCGTTTTCTTGTTCATGTTTGTTGCAGTTGCACCCGATTCAAGAGCCGAATGGCTCACAGGGCTATACCTAATTAATTAAATCAAAACTAAAAGAATGTTGCTGCGTGCTGAACTTCTTTCGCACTGCTGCTTCGCCAACAGCGCTAATCGACGTGACGTCATATAGTTCTGGAGACGCGCGCGTCATGTTTCTACGACGTGACGTCACAAGTTTAGCGGCGTCACGGTTCTGGGACGTGACGTGCGTGGTTCCGGGACGTGACGTCGGGAGCTGCCCTCGTCCGATTGGCTAGCGCGCACGAGGGTGGCGAAAGAGCTATGCCACGTGCTGAGCGGGGGGTGGTGAAGGGGGTGGGGGCGGCGATCGCCCCGGCCCGTGAATAGCCCCGCCCTGTCAACAACGGGTACTGCCGGGGGACTTGATGCCGGGCCAGAGGGGGATTTTACCTCTAAATTAATTTAGAAAGTTTTTACTAAACTTTAAAACGAATCTTGTTTTTTTCTATTTCAACAGGTGTAAAAGGCCCCAACGAGGCTACGTAGCTCTGACTCAATGGCTGTGAACGGAAGATGAGCACCAGTGCCTCAATGATCATTTGAGCAGCAAATCGCTGCGTGACTTTACCTTGACTTTGAATGCGATTATCTATTTTAAACTAAACTATGAACTATTTGTTATTGTACCATGTGTAACGCCCCACTGAGGCTATGTAGCTCTTTTTTTCAGAAGCGGCCCGGCCATCACAACAATGATTGCTCAGCGTAGTGGTTTAGGGGCCGTCCATAAATGACGTCACACACCTGGGGGGGGCTGGTCACCGCAATGTGAATTATGAACACTGCAATCATCATCATCATCTGTGTGGCCTTTCGACAAGTACTGTCGTAGCTAGGAGCCACGTGGCCGCTGGGGTTCAATGAAGTCGAATTCAGGTTCAACCACATACCCTCTTGCTTGACGAAGTCAATATTCGCACAAACTCCACTCCGGCATGTCCAAATAAATACAAAATGTGGTTTAAGGCCATCGGCCTCTTCTATGGCTGTCCAGACAAATATTACCGAGCGCCGTTTGTCTCTACACCAGGGTTCGACCTTGCGGGGTCTCATCAACTTTCAGTCAACAACTGTCTGTATATCGTGAGATGCTGCCTCTTTGGGCAGTGGTGCATACGCACAAAATGTTTTTAAAAAACTCAAAAGGAATGTTTTATATCACTGGCCGATAGCCCGTCCAAGGACTGGCGTATTGCAGTAAATCTGAAACATTCAAGCGAAACGCAGAGCGCGATGTGATATTCATTGCATCATACTATTTGGTTCTATTCGGTAAAGTCACGTAGGTCACCTAGGTCACCTACGTGACTATGAGTATGGATCCTTGCAGTCACGAAAGCTTCAAATCTAGAATTCATTGCATCAATTCGTGTGCAATTTGTAAGGCCGCGGTGACACGGACCAATTTCTTCTAAAGGTTATAATCCCTTGTTCATCATGACGTCCTTGTTATGATTGCACGCTTTTATTTAATTAACTGTCTGGAACTTCAAATGTAGAATCACTGTGTTGTATCCTCAACTCTGTTGTTGTAGCCTCAAATCTTGTAACTCAATTTTAACACACTTCCCAATGTGGTATCGACTGCAAATTTGGTATACTTATGTCATACTGATGACAATACTATATTCTATCATTAAACATACAAATAACATATTTTTTAACCAATATTTTTTATGTTATGTTTCGTTGGCTGTAAATCACCACGGCCCCTTACGTTTTGGCAACCTTCGGGGTCACTTCCTGGAGTTGTGGCGTTTCTTCCATTACTCGTACGGGACATTTAATTAAAGCGTTTTTTTATTTTTTTTAAGTATTACTTATTACTTCGATGTCTCAATAGCGTTAGGGCGATCGCGTGACGTAGTGAGGGTTCTGCCTTTGTAGTGAGGGTTGTGAGTTGACGCTAAGAAGGGGGGAGGAGGCGCCTCGCCCCTCCCCCATGTGGAGTGACGTCACCTAGTCATGATTTTTAATGAGGGGGGACACGTGGATGACGTCACCTGGTCATGATTATTAATGAGGGGGGACACGTGGATGACGTCACCTGGTCATGATTTTTAACGAGGGGGGACACGTGGAGGACGTCACCTGGTCATGATTATTAATGAGGGGGGCTGGTCGACGTGGAGTGACGTCACCGGCGTAACACACAGACATTCTTGGCTGATTATAATAGTAATAGGCGACGTTTCGGGCAATGCCTGTTTATTATTTTCACCTTTGAGGAAAATGCCACGAACCTGTCCCTCCTGGCTCAGGGGCAGAGCAAGCGGCTCGTCAATTGCTAAGTTACGAGTTCAACTCCTGGTTGAGGGATTGACGCAGCCCATCATCCTGATTTTGCCGCATAAAATAAGTACCACCGTTGTGTGCGGAAGTCAAAGGTGGTTATGTCTTAGGGGCCGTCCATAAATGACGTCACGCGATTTTGGACGATATTTGACCCCCCCCCCCTCGTCACGCGGCGTAACAAAAAGTCAGACCCCCCCCCAAATATGACGTCACAAAGCTCTGCCCCCAAAAAAAAACATGCTTCAAATCTCTTTAAACTATTGTCATTGTAGTGCGTATTTAATGTGGCGCTTCACTCTGATGTTGTAGGATAAAACATTTATTAAAAAGTCTATTTAATTAAGTAGAACGTGTCGTCTGTATTTATTTAAAGTTGCGCATTTTGATGTGACGTCACATTTCTCAAACCCCTCCCCCCCCCTCGTCACAAATGTCTGACCCCCCCCCCCCCCAGGTGCGTGACGTCATTTATGGACGGCCCCTTAGCTGCCATCCATTTAGTACGTACGCATAAAGGAGGGAGGGGGGTTAACCAAATGCGTAGCTTGCCTATGGGGGTTCTACTGACAATGTAGGCATAGGAAAAGGGGGGGGGGGGGTGAAGCCTCGATAATAATTTGTCTACGTTGGCCTTCAAATGAGTTAGATAGTCCGGCGGTGGACTATCCGTTTGCTTAAACACGTTCATATTATTAATCATTGATCGTTTCTGCGTGGATTAAATATAGGACGTTCTATAGGATTCGGGAGGGGATTGCGGTGTAAAAAGTCCGCGTGCGTACAGGGGGATGGGGGGGGGGGTAGGAGTCAAGTTTTGCGTACCTACTAATGGCCCCCCATGGCTTAGACTCAGCCCCCACTATAGGAACGTGACATTTTCCACCACCGGCTCATTTTTCTTTTTCAGTTCAGTTTATTTATTTTGGTATAGCCCTGTGAGCCATTCGTCTCTTGAATCGGGTGCAACCACAACAAATAAAAAACACGAACAAGAAAAACATCTTAAAGTGACTATGTGACTGTGCAAACAGAAAATCCAGGAAAAAAACAGCAAAATATTCCTGAAAAAAGCACCGTACACCAACGCTGTGTTCAAAAATCCCAGTGGGATGCAAAGTCAAACAACAACCACAACCACAAGACAACTTAGATTAAGGTCATCAGTCTAACTCCGTACTACAACAAGACAAACATATCCAAACCAAAAAAACTTTTAGAAATCACCAAAAAATAAAGCCATAATTGCAAAGTAACAGTGGTCATAGGGACTGTGACCGAATTTTCACAATAAACTACATAAATAACATGTAACACCAAATCCTAGAGCCATAGCTGGCTGCATGAGTTACTCCACAACAACAGAAGCATCAGTCGGAGTATCAAATTTTTCAAAGCACCTTTAAGATCAGCACGCTAAATCAAAATACAGATAATACTTTGCAGCGTCATCCGGAGCGAAACATTTTATTTTATTTTACGCCAATGAATAGCAGTGGCAGCTAGGGGTGTACAACTCCTCTAGAGCAGTTTAAAGAGAAGATATAATTGGTAGCGATTCAAGTTGCAGTTTATTGGCAATAGCATTCCAGACCCTGGGGGCATCAATAGCAAAGGCCCTTCCTCCAGTTTTTGTACGGCAATAGTGAATGTGAAGCTGGTAAATGAGCGAAGACCTGAGGTCAAATTTGTTCTTTGAAACAGAGAGGAGATCCAGCAGCAGGTAGTCTGCGGATTTTTTTGTAAGTGCATCGTGAGTAAATAAGATCTGGTGCACAAGCCGTCGAACATTAAGAGATGTTAAGTTTGACCAGATGTAGAGATCACAGTGGTGAGTCCTATATGGGCAGTTCGATGTAAATCCTAAGGCCGAGTGATAGATGGAATCAGGCTTCTTCAGTCCAGTACTTGTGGCTTCTTGTGACATTTTCCACCACCGGCTCTTGAGAGCTGTAAACCAGGAAGCACGCGTTCAACTCCTGCTTGAGGAATTGACTCATGCCCATCGTCCTATATTTTTGGTGGATAAAATTAGTTCCTTACGTTTTGTGCGTAAGTCAAAGGCGGTTGTGCCTTATGGCTTAAGACTCTATCCCCCACTAATACGAACGTGACATTCCCACCAGACCAAAAAAATGCCTTGATGCTTATTTTTGCTGAGAGGGGGCGGGGGGGGGTGTGCGCGCTTGGGGAAATTAAATCGTTGCCTTCGTTTATTTTGTTTTCCTACGACGAAATTTCAATTTTCCTTTGTGTTTTTGTTTTGTTATACAAGTGAGCCGTTGTCGCCATCGTGTGCGGAGCAGGGTGGGGGGGGGAGTGCTTGAATCTAGCCGCTCCGAAGCCCCCTACGCGCGTTCCGGGGCCACGTTCGCGTCGCTCCGTCACGTTTTCTGGGTCCCACCGAGCAGTCAGCGCTCCGCAGCCTTCTCCGATCGTCTTCAGTGTGGTCGCCTTCTCTGTGTATTTAGAGACAGAGACACAGAGACACAGAGACAGGTTTTATTTGTTTTTAGTCGGACTTTAAACGACGGCAGTGGGGGGGTGGCAGCGGGCAACTGTACATTTGACGCTGCTGTCTGTAAGCGCGCGCAACACACCACACGTACACACACCACACGTACACACCACAAAGTACACACACATCACACGTACACACCACAAAGTACACACACATCACACGTACACACCACAAAGTACACACACATCACACGTACACACCACACGTACACACACACCACACGTACACGGACCACACGTACACACCACAAAGTACACACACCACACGTACACACCACACGTACACACACACCACACGTACACACACACCACACGTACACACACCACACGTACACACACACCACACGTACACACACACCACACGTACACACACCACACGTACACACACACCACACGTACACACACCACACGTACACACACCACACGTACACACACACCACACGTACACACACCACACGTACACAGACCACACGTACACACCACAAAGTACACACACACCACACGTACACACCACACGTACACACACACCACACGTACACACACACCACACGTACACACCACACGTACACACACACCACACGTACACACACCACACGTACACACACACCACACGTACACACACCACACGTACACACACACCACACGTACACACACCACGTACACACCACACGTACACACACACCACGTACACACCACACGTACACACCACACGTACACACACACCACACGTACACATCACACGTGCACACCACACGTACACACACACCACACGTACACACCACACGTACACACACACCACACGTACACACCACACGTACACACCACACGTGCACACCACACGTACACACACACCACACGTACACACCACACGTACACACCACACGTACACACACACCACACGTGCACACCACACGTACACACACACCACACGTACACACCACACGTACACACCACACGTGCACACCACACGTACACACACCACACGTACACACACCACACGTACACACCACACGTGCACACCACACGTACACACACACCACACGTACACACACACCACGTACACACCACACGTACACACCACACGTACACACCACACGTGCACACCACACGTACACACACCACACGTACACACCACACGTACACACACACCACACGTACACACCACACGTACACACACCACACGTACACACACCACACGTACACACCACACGTACACACACACCACACGTACACAACACACGTACACACCACACGTGCACACCACACGTACACACACACCACACGTACACACCACACGTACACACACACCACACGTACACACACCACACGTACACACCACACGTACACACACACCACACGTACACACCACACGTACACACCACACGTGCACACCACACGTACACACACACCACACGTACACACCACACGTACACACACACCACACGTACACACCACACGTACACACCACACGTACACACACACCACACGTGCACACCACACGTACACACACCACACGTACACACACACCACACGTACACACCACACGTACACACACCACACGTACACACACCACACGTACACCCCACACGTACACACACACCACACGTACACACACCACACGTACACACCACACGTACACACACACCACACGTACACACCACACGTGCACACCACACGTACACACACACCACACGTACACACCACACGTACACACACACCACACGTACACACCACACGTACACACCACACGTACACACACACCACACGTACACACCACACGTACACACACCACACGTACACACACCACACGTACACACACCACACGTGCACACCACACGTACACACACACCACACGTACACACACCACACGTACACACCACACGTACACACACACCACACGTACACACACCACACGTACACACACCACACGTACACCCCACACGTACACACACCACACGTACACACCACACGTACACACACACCACACGTACACACCACACGTACACACACCACACGTACACACCACACGTACACACACACCACACGTACACACACCACACGTACACACCACACGTACACACACACCACACGTACACACCACACGTACACACCACACGTGCACACCACACGTACACACACACCACACGTACACACCACACGTACACACACACCACACGTACACACCACACGTACACACCACACGTACACACACACCACACGTGCACACCACACGTACACACACCACACGTACACACACACCACACGTACACACCACACGTACACACACCACACGTACACACACCACACGTACACCCCACACGTACACACACACCACACGTACACACACCACACGTACACACCACACGTACACACACACCACACGTACACACCACACGTGCACACCACACGTACACACACACCACACGTACACACCACACGTACACACACACCACACGTACACACCACACGTACACACCACACGTACACACACACCACACGTACACACCACACGTACACACACCACACGTACACACACCACACGTACACACACCACACGTGCACACCACACGTACACACACACCACACGTACACACACCACACGTACACACCACACGTACACACACACCACACGTACACACACCACACGTACACACACCACACGTACACCCCACACGTACACACACCACACGTACACACCACACGTACACACACACCACACGTACACACCACACGTACACACACACCACACGAACACACACCACACGTACACACACCACACGTACACACCACACGTACACACACCACACGTACACCCCACACGTACACACACACCACACGTACACACACCACACGTACACACCACACGTACTTATATAGCGTCCGAAAGGCGCAATCTGTCTAAGAGATGGAGCGATACAACCAATGTTTGTGTGTAGGGGTGGGTTGTTGTTACATCGTGAGAGGTGGTCGTGGTGACAGCTTAGAGGCGTGGTGGTGGTGGTGGGCTTTAATCCAGCAGTGGATTAACCATGGCTTTACGATGCGTTTCGGTGTCTTAGACAACCTTAAAGTTACACTCTTTGATTTATTTTCGGTAAAGTCAACGTGGGTACAAGAAATAACAATAATTGATCACGACGTTTCGATCGAAACACAAGCGGCCTTCTTCAGGCGGAAAACATTTTTGTCTTTATTTTTTAAATCCAGCAGTAGAACTGCCGAACTTTATTTAAAGTTTGCAGCTAACGAGAAAGTTACGTCCGGTGCAGACATTGGCGGGGTTTGCCTGTTAACAAAGTGGGGGGCTGAGTTCCTACTACACTTCCTCGTGATGATGCAATGGGGGGGGGGGGTGGGGGGTGTTTATTTCGCCATACTTCACCACGCTGGTTCGTGCGGGATTTGACGACGGAGGAGACGATCAATCGCAACCCGAGCCACTCATCAACCACCCGCCAGCGATGTCATTCTGTTGTGTGGTCGTGGGCCAGGTGCTGCTGCTCCTGCTGCTGCTCCTGCTGCTGCTGGCTCGCACAGGTCCCTACCCCCGGTGTCGTTGGCATTCACCACCCACCGCGATGGGAGTTGGCCAAAACGTATACGTGTAGGACCGAAGAGCTTGGGGGCATTGTTTGTTGGCGTGTGCGTTTTTGTTTCTTTCCTCCCGAGCGTGACTACGGGGTGGAAGCGCTGCGCGTGGACGAGGTCTTACAGCGTGTCGAGATGCAATTGACGTGCGTCGCGACGCTGTGCAGAAGTTGACAACGACGACAACAACAAAAGGCCACGAATTCGATTGTGAAACTCGTCCGCTGGCTAAGCGCGGGTGTAAAATGTACGGCACCGTGAGCGTGAGGATATATACATTTTAAAGCGGCGCGTTGTCGCTGAACTTCTTTCGCGCCGTGCGTAGGCGACCGTGCTAATCGGAGGGGGGAGCACAAACAACCTCGATCCGGAATACAGAAAGTAAAAAAAAAACGAGTTTTATTAACAAATTCGTTTAACTCGCGGTCTATGAGAAGTACCGTCACTGGCGACTGAGACACGTGGCGCCCGCGTTCTGTGCGAGCCGAATCCACAGTTCAGGGACCGCGGCGTTTTTGACCCACACGCAGATATATAAATAATAAGGCGTCCATCCTAAATGTAAATTGCTTTAAAGTAGCGAATTAATTGATGCCGATTTTGACACAGGCACGCGTTGTCACCGGATCTGAGCAGCGCGTGCAAAATGTGGAATTTGATTGGACGGTGGGAAGTGGACGAAATTTCGATTGCAAGATTTGACCACGACGAACAGATGAATCAAGTTAAACCGTTGAAAGAAGCGACCAATGTTGTTCGTGCCCTCACTCACGCTCCACTCTTGCGTGATGAGACATCGCAGCAGAAGTAAACGGTACGTATAACGGCAATCTTTGGACTTGGTTTGGGCGCCGTCAGCAGCGCCCTGAACAACTCGACGCGGCGGCGTTTGCGGGACTTCGCTGGCACTTCCGGCAGCGCTCTGAACAACTCGACGCAGCGGCTGCAGCCTTGGACGCTGAACCGCCAGTACGGCAGTAGTAGCTGGCCTTCTCCAGGAGTCCCTTGGTCGCGGTGAGCGTCGATCGTTCTTCCCCTTCCCCGGGCGAATGCCGATCGCCCCGGCGATTGCCAAACACACCGTGCCCGGAGAACGCCAAACACACCGTGCCCACCCGGCGAATGCTGACCGCAACAGCAGGCCTCCCGCAGGGAGACCCCCCCCGGGCCCCGTCGAACGCCTGATTTTACTTGACCACACTTGCCACCAATCATGCGTAACCCCGTCGACTGCCCCTCAGTCAAGGCCAGACTGAGTGACACCTTGGCTTCTGGAGGTGGGAGGTTTTTGGGGTTTTTTTTTTCCCCACAACCACTCGCCCCCCTTTACCCCGTGTAACCTTGGCCACCTCGGCTCACCCCGGCGCGACAGCGCTCGTCCACACCGTTACATCTGGCTCAACCAAATCCTGCTGATAGAAAAAACAAGCGTTTACCAAAAACGTGCAAAGAACTTCGCTCATCCAGTGTTTGAACAGCACTGGATGACTGCAGAAGGAAGTTGTTGATACAATGTCAGATGCATATCTCAATAAGAGCAACGATCAAGTCCTCCACTTGACTGATGGCAACGAAGAGCAAATGAAGAGCATCAATCTCTCTCTTAAGATACAGTCAAACCTTGGATTGCGAGCATAATTCGTCCCGGAAACGTGTTTGTAATCCAAAGCACTCGTATATCAAAGCACTCGTCATATATCAGTTGTGATCACGTGACGCTCGGCAGTACAAAGCGTCTACACGTACACTGCTCGTATTGCAAGACCCTCGCTCGCTCATCAAATTAATATTTATTTAAAAAATTTGCTCGTCTTGCAAAACACTCGCGGAGCAAGTTACTCGCAATCCAAGGTTTTGCTGTAATGTTTTTCCTCGCATTTCATGAATCCAAACATGTAACGCCTATTTGCAGCTCCGAATAAAACTTACTTTCTGAAGCGGCTTGGTGCAAACATTGGAAGTGATCATCACAGTGATACAGGGGGTGCACGGATTAATTATTAATGCCGCTGCAGACTTGACTCCTTCAGCCTTGCAAGAAAAACTGAAATCGGTTGAATTCTGGGGTCTGCTTAATGGCTCAGAAGACGACGAACACAGAGCATGAAAGTGTCCATCGTGAGTGCTTTCACCAATTGGGAATATTCTGACTTTCTCGATGTGATTTGGCTCGACGGCAAATTGTATAACCGATGCATAAGTTTGGTGCGTACCAAACCATTTCTGCTGATGCTCGTGTGAGAACCTCATGTATAAGGTTACGTGAACCCCTGCCAGTCGTCATTGTGATGGCGAGAGAGAGAGAGATGTGTACCAACGTCTAACCCCCCCATTCCCCCTGCGCTGTTGATTGAAAGTGTTGCGCTCTCTCCGTCAGGGCCTTCCCTCCGCCACCAGCGAGCAACGCGAGAGTGGAACAGATGCCCGGAAATTCAGGTACAGTACCTGAGCCGCTTGATTTATAACACTCAGATAAGTGAGCTGTAACCCAGTGCATAGTTTCCGCTTGAACAGTCCGTAACGCTGTTCCGGGAATTATTTTTGGCACGACACATCTCGGCCTTATTGGTTTTATAAACCTGTTCATAATATTGTCGGGATATATGGTATAATGTAGGATTATTAGGGATAGGCAAAGCTTGTACTCCAATGGTAGTGTCTTATGCTGATAGCTCCTACTCCAAAGCTAGCCTAACAGGATTTGTGGAAACTATTGAGTGAGAAATTAAGCCCTAGAATGTTTTCCAGGCTTGAGCCCGGTCAATGGCCAGGGTCAATGGCGGCACGTGGTGTATTCCGCAAATATGCCCGACTGAGGGCGGGCACAAGCCGGCGTGAGTAGGTTAAACGTTGAGTTTTATAAGGGCACCACGGGGTGACCAGCCCCTCCCCACCCAGCCCCACCCCTCCCACCCCCCACCCAGCCCCACCCTCCCCACCCAGCCCCTCCCCACCCTCCCCTCTCCACCCAGCCCCACCCCTCCCACCCCCCACCCAGCCCCTCCCCACCCTCCCCTCTCCACCCAGCCCCACCCCCCACCCAGCCCCTCCCCACCCTCCCCACCCAGCCCCACCCCTCCCATTTTTGGATGCACGGACGGACACAATAATCCCCTGTGGGCTGGTGTAACCAGGAGGCTCCTACCAGTATAATGTTATACAAATCTTGTCACATACAGGATTATAAGACGCACCCCCCAAGTGTTAAACTAAAACTTATTTATTTTACCAGGTAAGGCCCACTTGAGTTCTATGGCTCTTTTTTCAGAAGCAACCTGGCCAAATGTGGGAGTTTATAGCAGCCCAATACTCTGAACGCATATTTCTAAATGTGGAGGGAAAATCCGGAGGACCCGGCGAAAAATCCACGTGACCACGGGGAGAACACGCAAACTCCACGGAAACAGGCGTCGGGGTCAGGATCGAACGCACGACCTCCTGCATACCAGGCGACCGCGGCGCCCCAGTTATGCTTTCAAATACGGGAGAAAAATGTGCATTGTGTGAACGTGAGGATACAGCATTCTTCGCCTCCAGCCAGCGCTCAACACAGCACCGCTGGTGTGACATTTACACGCGGATTGAGCCACGTTTAACTTGACAACGGGCGCACGCTCTGATGAGAAATGTCAATCGCAGTGGAGCTTCCGACCTTTTGTTTTCACGACATTCGGCCTCTTTGTCCGACAGGGAAATTACGTTTGTTACGAGTATTTTTCACATTTGTGAATAGACCAGTTTTTTTTTTAACTTTTTATAGCTCATTTACACCAAGCATAACCAGGACCACAATGAAGCAAGGCAATCGGAACAAAAATAAAAACGACCGTCATGAAAAATAAAAACGACTCTCATGAAAAATTTGAATTTGTCAAACTTAAGGTGACTCGTGTCAGTCTAACGCGTGCGGTGAGTGAGTTTTCACTCGGAGAATTTACAATTTGCACCTTCTTTGATATACAATAAACACTTTGCAGGGCATAGAATTTCCTGGCTCCTAGTATGGATAAAGCTGACAATTGAAGAGACCTCTTATCTGCGTTTTTAGCAAAATGGGTTTATTTATTCTGCCAAAGATGAAAATTATCAAGCATGAAGGTGACTACGACTGCCCTAACCCTAACAACCAGGCCAGGGGGATGGCTGGCTCTGGTGAGACAACATTAACTAGTCTGAATAAAGACGCAGACTAAGATAATCTCGCGACGCTGAGAGATGTAACCAATGGTAATTGGCCATAAATGTATGGAAAGTATTTACTGAGTGGCGGGTGGCGTGCATTAGTTCATCACGCATGGCCAGCGAAGGACCGCTGTTGCCAGACGTGTGTGGCCTCTTGCGACAGCATTTGCGTAAACTGCTCTTACTACCGTGCCAGTGTATGGCACCAGCATTAAATAACCAAGAGTGTCTTGACTGCTTTAAGTCGATTCGACTAAGCGAATTTTTTTTACGACATGAAATCTGCAGACTAAGACTTTGACTACGTTTCCCCAGGTCGAAGAGACTAGGACGGTGACTGTAAACAAAACACGCTGACTAAATTAACACCGCCGAGGTACGGTGGTAGGGGCTCCAACCTGGCAGCGGAAGGGCTGGTTGGCATGAGAACGAACTTCACCGTGGCCCCGTGCCCCTTCCGCTCTGTGTCCACAGAGGCGGGGGGGCCACACCGCCGAGAGGGAAAGTCCACCGTCTCCTCGAAGCATGGACAGGAACAGACACCTGGCAGGTCACGGGTACGACGACTCCCGCTCCCCGCAACCAAAGTCATCCTGACATGCGTTCTAATCGATCACAGCAATCATTCTCAGCCCTGTGTTCATCCAAGTGCTCGATGAAAGCCTCCCCATGCTTTGCCTTTCCCTGGGGGTTCTTTAGCTGTACTTCACAATGGTCAATGTGGGTTGCTGAAGTGGGGGGTGGGGAGGAGTGGTACCCAGTCAGAAATCACTCGCGACTAATGTTAGCCGAAGCCGGGAATCGAACTCAGGTCGGTGGGGTCAAAGTGCACTGCACTAAGCACTACGCCACCACTCAGTCGACAGCCCTCGTCTCAGCACGTGAATATATTCCTCCCCATTCCATCTTGCGTCACTACGACCGTTGTCATTGTTCCGGTAAACTTCACTCGTCGATTCATCCATCCGCTCCTGCTAAAGACTCGGTCAGCTACACTATTTCGTCTCATCCATACTGTGTTCAGTCACCATACCACTCACTCGCCCACCCACCCACTCACCACGCTGCCGGTTTAAAGCGTTCTCTTTCTGCTCCCTTCCTCACACATCATCGTTAACCTGTGCAAACCCTCGTCAATGTTGTTTTTTTCTTTGCCAGCGACTGACCTTAACCTCGTTCTCCCTCATCTTTCCTCCTCACTCCTGCCAAACCACTCTTCCCCTCCTCTTCCCCGTCTCGCCCCACCCCTCCACGACTCTAGGGCGCCCACTCCTCCACCGCCAGGACAGACCCTGACACCAAGTGTAGCTTCTGCCACAAAGGCGACGATGTGCTCATGCTGGGGAAACTCTACGTGTCTTCCAAAAAGATCGCCGCGCACCACAAGTGCTTGGTGAGAACGTTGCCCGGTGGCTCGAGTTAATTCGTTTTGACCAAGGGAGCGACTCGGGAGGTCAGAGTCACTGGGGCCGACAACCGCTGAGATCGTTGGGTTAAAATTATACGGCAGAGCGTGGTGGGAAAATTAGCTGCCCTCTACCGTGTAGGCCGAGGCACTCGAAGGGATCTCAGAGGTGGCTCTGCACAATTCGCCGTCGTGGACTATTTTCTAGCATGAAGGGTTGCACGGAGATGTTGGCGTGGCTCAAAAACTCGGAGATGCCGAGCCGGCACGGCTGGGGGTCCTTGGGTTCGAATCTGGGTATCGGCCACCCGCAATTAGGCCAAGTTCTCACGTTTAAAGATGTGTTGGTCTCAGCCCATAAATGTGTCAATGAATCAATTATTTTTGTATTGCAATTGATCAGGTATGTCACCTTCCATGTGCTCCACAGCTGTTTTCATCTGGAACAATTGAAGGCCCAAAGTCGAGCGGGGAGTTTGGAAGTTTTGACGTCAAGACGGTTATGAAAGAGATCAAGCGCGGAAAGAGAATAGTGAGTCTGCTTCACCGCTGGCACCCTCGTCCCAATTAAGTTGACTTCATTTACAATAACGATCATCGTTGTTTGTAATCGTTAGAACGATGTTCTTTTCGGGGAACTCGTGTTTCCTACCGTATACCAACTGGATTCGGCCGAGCAACCCGATACACAGGACCCTCCTGAAAAATGGGTCTTCAGGCTCAAAGTTGTATTGGATGAATTAATTATATTCATATTTTGGTGGTGAATAAACCGCTAAATATTTTTTTATTAATTGAATAATTACGACTGACAATCCACGAAAACTCCACGTATTTATATATCTTTAAATAGTACACCTTATTTACATGGCAAAGTCTCGCTTACTCTCAGGGCCCTCTTTCAGTCGAGTCACAATTAGCATCTGTGGGCAATTTCCCTTTCACGGTGTTTTTCAAACCGTTTTTTCATGGTTTGATGAGCATAGGCTCAAAAGGCCAAGTGGCCAGAAACAAACAGCACTCTTGAAATGATAATAGGTAACAGTTCATACCTTGCTTGAATTTGCAAATATTTTCAGAAGAGCTTTGGAAAAGAGACGAGGGGAGGGAATTGTAAAGTGGAGCAGTCCATGGGCAGATGCAGAGAGAGAAGTGTTGTGATCTGCAGTGTGGTGGTCGGGTGAGTGAGTGTTGTTTTAACCTGCAGTGTGGTGAGTGGGTGGGTGGGTGAGTGAGTGTTGTTTTAACCTGCAGTGTGGTGAGTGGGTGGGTGGGTGGGTGAGTTAGTGGGTTAGTGAGTGAGTGAGGGGGTGGGTGAGTGAGTGAGTGAGTGTTGTTTTAACCTGCAGTGTGGTGGGTGGGTGGGTGAGTGAGTTAGTGGGTTAGTGAGTAAGGGGGTGGGTGAAAGAGTGAGTGTTGTTTTAACCTGCTGTGGTGAGTGGGTGGGTGGGTGAGTGAGTTAGTGGGTTAGTGAGTGAGTGAGTGTTGTTTTGACCTGCAGTGTGGTGAGTGAGTGGGTGGGTGAGTGAGTTAGTGAGTCAGTGAGTGAGGGGGTGAGTGAGTGAGTGTTTTTTTGACCTGCAGTGTGGTGAGTGAGTGGGTGGGTGAGTGAGTTAGTGGGTTAGTGAGTGAGTGAGGGGGTGGGTGAGTGAGTGAGTGTTGTTTTAACCTGCAGTGTGGTGAGTGAGTGGGTGGGTGAGTGAGTTAGTGGGTTAGTGAGTGAGTGAGGGGGTGGGTGAGTGAGTGAGTGTTGTTTTAACCTGCAGTGTGGTGAGTGGGTGGGTGGGTGAGTGAGTTAGTGGGTTAGTGAGTGAGTGAGTGAGGGGGTGGGTGAGTGAGTGAGTGAGTGTTGTTTTAACCTGCTGTGGTGAGTGGGTGGGTGGGTGAGTGAGTTAGTGGGTTAGTGAGTGAGTAAGTGAGCGGGTGGGTGAGTGAGTGAGTGTTGTTTTGACCTGCAGTGTGGTGAGTGAGTGGGTGGGTGAGTGAGTTAGTGAGTGAGTGAGGGGGTGAACGAGTGAGTGAGTGTTGTTTTGACCTGCAGTGTGGTGAGTGAGTGGGTGGGTGAGTGAGTTAGTGGGTAAGTGAGTGAGTGAGTAAGGAGGTGGGTGAGTGAGTGAGTGTTGGTTTGACCTGCAGTGTGGTGAGTGAGTTAGTGGGTAAGCGACTGAGTGAGGGGGTGGGTGAGTGAGTGTTGTTTTTACCTGCAGTGTTTTGTTTTAACCTGCAGTGTGGTGGGTGGGTGGGTGAGTGGTGAGTGTTTTGATCTGCAGTGTGGTGAGTGAGTGGGTGAGTGAGTGAGTGGTGAATGTTTTGACCTGCAGTGTGGTGGGTGGGTGAGTGAGTGAGTGTTGTTTTGACCTGCAGTGTTTTGTTTTAACCTGCAGTGTGGTGGGTGGGTGAGTGAGTGAGTGGGTGGGTGAGTGAGTTAGTGGGTTAGTGAGTGAGTGAGTGGGTGAGTGAGTGGTGAGTGTTTTGACCTGCAGTGTGGTGAGTGAGTGGGTGAGTGATTGAGTGTTGTTTTAACCTGCAGTGTTTTGTTTTAACCTGCAGTGTGGTGGGTGGGTGGGTGAGTGAGTGGTGAGTGTTTTGACCTGCAGTGTGGTGAGGGGGTGGGTGAGTGAGTGAGTGTTGTTTTGACCTATAGTGTGGTGGTTGAACTCTGTGGTGGTGGATGAGACGAAACAGTCGGTGTCTGGTTGTACGAGTCCTCAACATGGGTGGAGGAATCAGGAAGTGAAGTTCGTGGGAGCAGGAACCATGGATGGTTGTAGCGATGGTGGAGTGAAAAACGAGAGATAAAAAATCCCTCGCTTGTGAGAAGAGAACAAACGCGGAAATGTACCAGGAAGTTCACAGGAGTCTGGTTAAATATGTTGCACTAGATAAAAATACACCACTGCTACTGTTAAACGACTCTGTTATCAGTGTTACAAACACGAATGTGGATGGCACAGCAAGAATACGATATCATGTATTTCACAAGTATAAATGTAACCCTCAACTCGTCCGTTATCGCCTCTTGACAATTGCAACTGTTCAAATTTTCCCCGCCATAAAAGAGCAAATGTTTCCTGTGAATATGTACAATGTCATGGTTGCTTAATAACGATTGAATTTACAGCGCTTTGACAATTCGCTGCCGGGACAAGGATTTGCCCTGCTGCGTCGATCACGGTGGTTGTTTGACCATACCTCACCACGTTGGTCAGTGCGGGTTGATGAAGGAGCCAGGACCGATTCAGATCTCACTTGCCCCTGATGTTAACCGTGTTCGGGAATTCAACTCGGGTTGTTGGGTTCACAGAGCGGTGTGTAATATTCCTTAAGGACCCTGTACTCGAATGCCGGGTAACTGTCTAAACGGGATTAAAATAAAATAAAATGGAATGAAACGCTGTGCCCGCACCACTCTAATATTGATATTGAATTAAGTTTGTAAAACTTCACTGACCTTCAACCTAAGTTGACATTCTCTCCAGTATGTTACTGTAATGCTCACCACCCCCCACCGTGTATTCACATGGCCGTTTGTAATCATTCACAATCAAATATAGACGAAGAAAAGAGTCATCTTACTGCTATTTAAAATTGGGGTTTCACTGACAATCCCGTGAAAAACATGTAGATGAAAAATATGACATCCTGAAAAATAAAATGTTTCGTTTTAGACTTTCACCCTACTGGCCTTCCAGAATTGCGTTATATCCAACAGGCTTTTTTTTTTAAGCACAAAAGATCCGTGCTGATATGGACTTTCTGGGTCTAGTCAGCAGAGTTGTGCCCGTTCAACTTCATGCCGGACGGGTTTGTCAGATGTTATTGGTACGAGCGCTCCTGCCTTAACAGTTCGGCCCTGTTACAGTGCAAAACGCAACCGTGCGGAAAAAATCGTTCCGTACTCTTTAGTTTCACTGCTCGGCCATGGGCGGCTGTTGTTTTCGCTACAACGCCTCCCCACCCTGTGGAACCTCGTTACCTCTGCCTGTAACGCCTCTCCTCAAAACCTTCCTCTTCAACCCCGTGCCTTCAGACTCTCTCAAATGCTTCTTCTTCTCCTCTCCTTGCTCAGTCCGCCCCCGTTCCCATCCCATTTCGGGTGCACTACAAATGTAAGTTCATATTTTTTTGTCGAGCATTTTTCTTCGTTTTTGTGCTGGGCTCCAGAATTGAGCAATGGATATCGGCTACATTCCTGGCTGTGTGGTTTTTCATGCTCGTATATATTTTTTTTGTTGATTTTTTTTGACAGAAATGCTCCAAATGCAGAAACCAAGGGGGCACGATAGGATGTGAAATAAAAAAATGTTCCAAAACCTACCACTACGTTTGCGGGAAGATGGACTGTGCTAAAATCATAGAGAACTCCTCGAAGGGCATCTACAAGTGAGTGCTGGCTGAGGTCTGCAGTGGCACAAAACCCTCAGTGATGTTTATAACCCCACAGGGACCATGAAGTGAGCCATTGGGAGCACGTTCGCCGCTCGCTTTAAGAGGTGCGCGGTTCAAATCTGGCAGACCGCCCTGATGATAACCGCGGAAGTTATTCGAGCGTTATTTACCGCGCGCCATCTGCACGGCGGATCGTTAACTGTCCCGTGAGGTCGTTCGCATAACGGCGCGCTATTCCGTGCCGGCATCATTGTAGCTACAACAACAATTGAGAAATCCATATCAGTTGCCGTCCTCCTATGGCGAAAACCGTGCAGCATCCTCCTGAAAAAGAGCAACGGGACTCGGCCTCTCCTGGGTAAACAAAGTGTTAAAAAAACCATGATTATTATGAACGCACATGGGGTCAATGTCCATGTTCGTGCGTTGATTGTACTGCCCTACGGTAGGCATGCATCGATCTATTAAACATCGATTCTTATACTCGCGATGCATTCATCAAAGTCACGCATGTATCGAGAGCGAGCCACGGGTGTGGTTATTATTATTTTTTACCTACGTGACTTTACCGAATAGAACCAAAGAGTATGGATCCTGGCAGTCACGAAATCTTCAAATCTAGAAACAATGCCAATATATTATCAGAGTATGTTTTTTTGTTTGCATTCTGACCACAAGTATTGTGGTTAATGCAGACATGATTCCTTGTAACAGGTTTCAAAGGAGGTCCCATGATGTAGTTTAGTCAAAGTCTTAGTTGTGTTGACGACAACCTGCGGAGTTTTGGTCAAGTCCTAACGTGTCTGTATATTTCATGTAGTCATTGTCAGTCCAGTCGACTAAAGCACTCGCATATTTAGTCAAACACTCGCAGCTATTACATTTTTTGCGTGAAAGGTGTGCAACTCCCACTCCGTCCCCCCACCCACCCACCCAATATCTGATCAGCCAGTCTATGAGCTCGTGCAGTCATTTCATAGGTTTCATTCAAGCTCATTAATTTAGACTCGTTAAGCACATCTCATTGTCACGCTTTGGCCTCCGGTGTGTGGGCGTCATCATCGATTGTCGTCCGCTCGGGTCATCGCTGACTACGTGAAAAGAAAACGGCAAAATTTAAAGCGCGCATTTCCGTTGCAGTTTTAACACTGGCGGGAACTGCCGCCGCTCCTCCCCAGGCTCTACTGCAAGCAGCACCGCGGAGAAGACGGTCACGACGGCGACGACGACGACGACGACGACGACGACGCCGACGACGCCCTAGACACCGACGAAGAGAGCGACGGCAGCAGCAAAGCCGCCGGCGGCGGCGGCGGCGGCGGCGGCGGTAGCGACGACAGCGACCAGCAGCACCCCGGACCGGGCCCGAATCTGGGGCGCAGCAACGGCCGGGGCGGCTTGCTCGGAAACAGCCGCCCCGCCGGAGACAGCAACTCGGCGAGCGAGTCGGACGGCGCCGGCGAGAACGGAAGCTCGCCGCTCGCGGGGGCTTCCCGCGGTACGAGCGCGGGCCGGGCACCGTGTGGGACGCGAGTCGGCTGGGGGGGGGGGATGGGGGGGCGATAGGGGGGTGGCGGACGCGGAGTGCCGCGAGTTTCTTCACGTCCACGCCGCTGAACTAAGAACAGTAATGATGTTTTTTTACCGGGTGTAAGGGGCCCCACCGAGCTCGCATCGCCTCCGGCCATCGCAAACGATAGCTCGACGAGAGTGCGCTTATCGTCGCGTGGAAATTTATCGCAGCCAAGCACTCCAATGAGCGCGTGATGTTGATTCTAAGACGTGGAGGGGTAAACCGGAGAACCCGAGAGAACAATGCACGCGGCCACGGGGAGAGAGACACGCTAACTCCACATATACAGGCGTCGGGGTCGGGCTCGAACCCAAGATCTCCTGCATACCAAGCGATGGCGTTAACATTTTGCCACTGAGCTACAAACCACCCACCCACCCCCCCTGCTACGGAGACACCGGGTGGTTTTCCTCGGATATTCACTTTATACTCTCATTATTGGGGGTTACATCCCGTAATGGTACCGTAGTGATTAGTGGTCGATGAGCCTGGAGACATGGTCCTTGTCCGTTCTTCTCATGAAATACTGCACCTTCCGATGAGCATGGTTGGCGATGTACTGCGCGAAAGAAGTTCAACGTATATGCGTGCATACAAAAACAAGACTGTTCACTTCAACGGAGGGGTCGACACCCCCCCCTGGTTTCGTTGACATTGTGTTTTGTGATGGATGCAGGTGGCGAGGAGAATTACAGTTGGTCCATTACAGACCAGAATTTTCTGCAGTATGATGACGATGATGACGATGACATTATAGAAGTAAGTTCCGGATTGTACTCGCGCTCCCGTTTCTCTCGTCACAGCATTCTTATTTACTTATCACGTAACGATCATAATCACCATCAGCCATGGTCAATTCACTGCTGGGCGATGGCCTCACCTCTCACGGTGCTGCAAGTGCGGCAGTCCATCTCGCACCGGCACGTGATCTGAATTCGTTGCTTCCATCTCCTCGGTGGACGGAGACGAAAAGAAAATACACACATACTCGTACATCATGAACAGCAGCAGCTTGGATCTGTCTACCGCTGCATGAAGGCCTCTATGCAAGCTGTGTGCCCTCCGTGTGTGTGCACGCGCGTGTGGCTCCACAGCTCCCAAGTTTGTTCAGGCTGCGAAATGCCTCGCAACAAAGAGGCGTGGACGGGGGCGTCGCGCAGACCGCACCGCCGGCCGCCGCCGAGGCCTCCGCCGAGGCCTCCGCCGAGGCCTCCGCCGAGGCCACGGTAGAAAATGTCGGGGAGCGGAGCGTCGCTCTGCCGGAGGAGCACCAGGACTACGACTCGATGCCTGGGCTGGAGGAACTCGCCCCACTCTCGCCGCAGGAGATGGAAGGGCACGAAGCTATCCCCGACACCGTGAAGGACTTGTTCAAGGAATTGTGGCTGAAGTTTATCGAGGCGAGCAAGGGGACGTGCAGAGTTGGCGGCGACGACGAAGGAGCCGTGCAGTGGTGGCAGAAGGAGTGCAAGGTCTTGGTGAAGCTGTGGCCCAAAGCCCCGGCAGACGCAGGAGGAGTAAGAGGAGAGGAAGGCCGGGCGGCGTCTGTGGACGCCCGGCCCGGAACGCCGGATTGCGACGCGTGCGACGACCTGGACGAGACCTTGTTGACACCGGAGGATGTCACGGTGAGGAGGGGGAGGAGGGGGAAGTGCGTATTTTTACTGCCAATAGGCATTGCATAAATATCAAGTTATTTTCGATGCGCGTGTGTTTTTGCGTGACGGGGTCTTGTAAACCCAGCAGCCATTAGAAGTGCTTCATCTGCTGCAATAAAAATATATATTGAATTGAATCATGATGGCCAGGGGGCGATGCATCATTACAATGCCCGTAAGAGTTACTATACCTGCAGAGTATTGCTTTGAACTATCAATACATTTAACTTAAATCTGGCACAGGTGGCTGGGTAAGCTCGACAGAGTGCGGAGCCAACACTGCTACGATCGTGGGTTCGATTTAAGACAGCCACCCACGTTTCAAATGTTTTTACTCGAATGGGTAATGAGTTGGTAATCTCGGCCAAGCCGTCAATGAATGCACACCGAAATTTGATATTCAAGGTTGTATTTTATTGTTCAATTGGCCACGTGCCAGCGCTGAGAATTAAAATATTAGTTTGTCTGTCATGAGAAACAAAAAGCACAATTGAAACGGAGAGACACACCGAACAAAATCTAAAAGTCAAAGAAAAAGGACTTCTCATATAGTGTTGCTGTAATAATGATAATTCCAAAGTATCGTGGAATATCCGATGTGTGATCATGAGCACTGAAGAGACAAACGCAGCAGCACGGTGTTTGCCTGCCGCAGCGTTTAGAGATGTGGTCACGTTTAGACTTTTTGAATACATTCAAATCGTATCGACAGCATGTAACAGTCCATCAATCCATGGAATTACATCCATGACAGATGTGACGTCATCGCTCATTTGCCGTGCAATATATTATATCCATTATTGCGCCCCCACCCCCCCCAAAATACAGAAGTCTATTCTTATAGACTTTTGTATTTGTGTAGTCTGGAAACTACCCACATGCCAAATTTTAAGTTTGTTGCATGTTGGGAAGCATGCTAAACATTTCGATACACATTCACCGCATATATATAGATGTGAGAATCGGTCAGCAACGAATTCTGGAAATGATATTCTTCAGAAAAAACAACTATACAAACGAGACAACAAAAAAGCAAGTCTTGAGTCAAACCTTTATTAAAATTGTGATTTTTTTTTTTAAATAACGGTTTTAAAAATATATTCTTGGTTCTTTCGGTAAAGTCACTTAGAAGGGAAACAATCAAATAATAAAAATATAAAACATGATTTTATTGTTTCCCTTCTACGTGGTGACTTTACCGAAAGAACCAAGAATATGAATCCCTGCAGTCACGAAAGCTTTAAATCAGGTTTTAAAAATGTTTTACATTGCAACCTCCGGTCCCCCGTGTTGCATTTCAGAGCGAGCACGCGGTAGCAGGGCCCGGGATCGCTGCCGGACACCAATCGGCAACGCCACCGCCGTCACCGCCGTCACCGCCGTCACCACCACTACACCCGCATGGTCAGTGCCATGTGCCGAGTCTGGTTGTCATTGCCGCGTAGGTCGAACCAGCACCGCAGACAGCTCCGCACCCAGCGCCGCACGTTCGGTCCACGGTGCGCTGAAGGTGGTTTTAGAGAAACCGTTTCCACCACCGCAGACGACACTCCCCGTTCACTGCAGCGGCCGCCTGCAGCGCTCCTTCGTCTCTCTGCACGGCCGACGAAGTGACTCTCTATCGGATGAGACGCCTCGGAATGCTTCCGATTGTGCATCGTTTGTTTCCTTTGCTTTTTTTTACGTGCGCACTCGCCCTTTGTTTTTGCCCGAGCGTAGCGCACGCCTGTAACCACGCTTCGCCAGTGCTCGACCTGCGCCCGTGCGGTCCGCAGTCAGAAGCCAGGGCGATGAGTGCACGGCGGCGGTGGTGATTTGGCCGACTCGTTGAATGAAAACACGGAGGCCCGAGCCCAGCTCCAGAATCCCCAGGCCCGCAGGGTTTTGAGTGGCAGGAGTGGTAAGTGAATGTAACAGTTTAAACATTTTGGTGCAGCCGTGGCTGCATAAGAGCTGTGTCGGTGGCCCGGGAAATATTTCTGCCCCTGGCAAACCATATCTTAATTTAATTTTGGCCTAGTGCCCTCCTGCAGTCCTGTCTCTCGGCCTATTCCAGTTTGGTGAGAAATTAAGCCCTGGTACAGGCACTTAACCCAACCTTCCTAGAGAAGAGAGGGAGAGATCCCCAAGTCCTTGTGCAAGGGGCAGTGGGGGTGGTGTAGTGGAGGTAACACTTGTGCCTCACAGCCAGAAAGGCGCTCGGTTCGATTCCTGATCCGGGATTATTTATTTATTTGTGGAGATTGTACGTTCTCCTGTTCTGCGTGGATTACCTCCGGTTTTTTCCGGTTCCTTCCCACCAATTAAAACGGAGACTGTCATTGGCGTTAGCCAAACATTACAATGCATCACCCTCATGAAAAAAAGTGTCTTTGTGGCTTTCCTGTGGGAAACCCACTGGGGTTCATAACAAATGAGGCATTTGAGGGTACTGCCGGCCTCTAGCCTTGGCTTTGCATCCTGGAGAAAGCGTTAACCGAAATGAAATGTCGTTGGTGTGAGGCGTGTGGGTGCAACAACGCGTAGATTTTATTTTCCCACAAATATTAGTCAGCGCTCATTCTCTCAATCTTTAATGCGAACTTATTGGGTCAGCATTAACTTTTGAACTGCTGTGCAAAAATCATTGTCTTTCAAATTATTCCACAAGAAACAAACTACACACTGTAGTTTAAGAGATACACATTACCGAACGCCCCGTCGTGGGCCCCGATGATCATGTGACCGCTTTTCCCCATGCACGCTTCAGTATCTTCCATCACGTGACCTCAAGCTGTGCGGAAAAAGTGCGGTGCATATGTATTACACGTCAAATTTCATTGTCGTACATATGCAACTCATCTAACTATGCGTTATTGATGCAACTGTTCCTATCGAATTTTGAACAAAAGTACGCATGCATCCAATCATGTGGGTAAGAGTCAATTAGTGAGATTTGCATACAATGAGTTCCCATCACACCCTCCAGCCACTAAATGCTGCTAATTCGCCAATATGTTAAAACAAGACTTTGCCTCTTGGCTTACGTCGCAACCGTGCGTAGCGACGGCTGATTGAATCGCGGGGCTGGCAAATCGTTACACCCCGACAGAAAATCCACTCGACAATAAGTGTCGACAAAGTGCTTCTTGTTACAAGGCAAGCGTGTGACGGTGCCGTCCACACACACTGCGATCTCGAGCAGAGCGAGTCTCCACCGTTTAGAAAGAATGGTCACCATGGTTTAGCCCGATACGCCTCATCCGGAACATCCCACTCACGGCGCCCTAACTGTGTTCTTAGTTCCGGTTTGACCTTTCTTAGCGTCTACGTCCTAACGTCACCGCAAAGCCCGCGAACTCACAAAAAACGGCTAAAACGCAATTTAATCAAGCGACAAACCGACTTCCTGGAGCTCCTCTTAAGCTCCGCGCGCTTATCGGTGTGAGGTCGTGGCATTGGCTGGGCTGGAGGAGAGGACAGGAGTCCATCACTGCCCCCCCCTCCATGTGCCTTGGCTTGACTGCACACGGCCCCCCGCTACTGTTCCAGTCTTCCGCGGCGGGAGTGCCTTAATAGTACGTCTGCGTCGTTCAGGAAAAACACAGTTGTGGTGCCGAGGAGTCGAGGGTTGTGCGGTCGGTTGCGGTCGGCGCGTGTCAGCCGCCGCCGAGCCGCGACGCGGCCCGGCGCTGACTCCGCGGCAGTGAGCGGATGCCGCATTGATCCCCTCCGCACAATCGGCTGCGGTGGAAACGTTTGTCTATCCTGGCCCCTGCCGTGGGAATGCGGTCTTCTCACCGCCGGCTCTGGGAAGCAAACGGAGATGAGAGCACCATCCCATTGGCACTTTTCGCTTTTTAGACCAATGACGTTAAAGTGAATTTTTTTTGTTATTGTCGGTCTGTTGTAAAATTGTTACCCACGAATAGAGGCATCAGTTGCATATATAAGATATAATTATTGCCTATATCAACCGTAAAGCACCCGATCTCAATATATCTTGGAAGCCAAGCAAGTTTTGAGCTTGGAGAGCGCTTGGGTGGTCGAGCACATTGCTCATTCGGTTGCAGGCTGCGGGGATACAATGTGGGCAGCAATGGGGCAAATGCACTCAAATCCATTCTGTTCTCCCATCTATGCTCTCCCGCCTTCACCAACCCGCCCTGACCAGCGTGGTAAAGTATGGCGACAAAGACTCACATGGCGTTGGGGATGCTCCAGCCCAGCGGCAGATGAACGAATAACGAGCTACACACCTGTACATAGTAATACATTTCAAACAAAAGAGTACTTTTGCACCTTAGTAACATTTCGCCCCCTCCTGCCTCGTGCCGTCTACTACAGACAGACCGAGGGTTTGCTGCGGGGCAAATGTCTGGACTTTTAGAATTATAGGTATCCCCATGAGAGGTGTTGAAACACGTGGTTAAATGTACTCCAGTGCGTGCATGCGCGCGGGAGATGGAAAGATGTGGAAAAGACGCAGCCAAAACTGCAAAAAGTTCACATGATGCCCTGCTGGTGCACACGGGATAATCTGAAAATTCTGCCAAAAATATAGGATGTATGGCCATTAACGATGTTTAAAAACACACGTGGATAAACTGGAGATTGAACCCAGCCAGAGACTCGAATACCTTCCAGCTGGTAGAGTACCAACCAAGGTGCTCCCAGTTGTGTGGGCATGAGTTAATATCCTGGCCATGGTGAACGGGCAGTGGAAATTCCAGCCCCATAGCCAGTGTTACCATCATTGTCATCGTTTAGGGGTTGGTAAATTAAATACGACCCGGAAAGACTGCACTTACAGGGTGGTTGTCCTATGGAAAGGTTGGTGTCTTGCCATGATAACATGAAATTTCCACTGCCCGTTCAGACCACCATCAGAGATGAGCACCGCTCGCTCAATACTCATTTTGAGCACGGAGAACATTTGACTTGTTGGAGGTCATTGTCCCGGTTTACCGAGACATTTCATGCAAAGTTCAACTTCGCCGTGAGAATGTCAGGGGATGGGTTCGCGAGGGCTTTGTGTGACATCGTGTCATTGGTTGGTCGATGTAACCGTCTGCACAACGGCGATTCGTCGTCGCGTATGCCACCAGTGGCATCTGTGAGCAGTGAGCGATCACGATAATGAACACCAAAACGGTTCTTTCATCGTGCATAGGTGCCCATGGTGTGTCCCCCAGACTGGTCCGGTACATGTTTAAAACTTTGTAAATGAAAACAAAGACTTGAAAATGTACAGTTTGGTTGCACTTTAGTGATGTCACTTCTTGCGCCATACCCATACTTTTTTTTTTTTAAAAAAATTCTCTTTTCCCCAATGTATTCCCGATTGTGCTGTCGGAAGTCATCGTGAGATGGAAGAATCCAGTTGGTATTTCGCAGAGCAGTGCAACCATTTGTCAAACAATGGAGATCACAGAGCTACTTCTGAAATCCCTTCAAGTGATGTCTGGTCCACAAAGTTGAAGGCAACATTTTGCTACCCACGCTGCCACTGAAATCTTCATCGCGTGATGCTGCTTTGATTGTTCTCGAGAGCTGCAATTTAGCCAAATTGAGTGCAGAACCAAATTTAATGTACAGTAAAACCTTGGTTTGCGAGCATAATTCGTTCCGTAAACGTGTTTGTAATCCAAAGCACTCGTATATCAAAGCGCTCGTCATATATCAGTTGTGATCACGTGACGCTCGGCAGACAAAGCATATACGTACTGCTCGTATTGCAAGACCCTCGCTCGTTTATCAAATTAATATTTACTTAACATTTTTGCTCGTCTTGCAAAACACTCGCAGAGCAAGTTACTCGCAATCCAAGGTTTGCCTGTATTTGCGTTTTTTTCGTGGAGTCATTGGTGACTGTTGCTGAGGTCATCAACTCTGCACTTAAGGTTCTGGTTTAATCACAGGCGGCCGCTCGCATTTGGCAGCTGCCTGGTGAATATCGGCGCTGCCGGCTCGAGGCTCTGACCTCTCGGTGTCACCTGGCCTCCACCCCCCCCCCCCCCCCTACCGACGCCCGCAACTTCTCCATCTAACGTCACCCTGGCGCGACGACGTTACGAGAGCCCCGGCCGACGGAAAATGCCGGTGACTTTTCCGTCGCTGAAGCGCCATTATCCATTGTATCGGACCGGCTGGGACGCGCGGCCTCGGTACTCTCGCCTGCAAAATGGTTTGCCCTTTGAACCGCGCCATCCATCGAGGCGTCGCCCGCCCCCCGCGCAAGCGCTGCTCCCGCCGGTGGGCGCCCGCTTCGATCGCGGTGCCGCCGCCGCCCTCCCCCCCTCCTTTGATGTCGTCGGCTACGACCCGGAGGCTCTACGGCGTCGCGGGCCGCGCTGTCGGAATGTCACGTAACCTACTAGAGGCGAGCGCCGTCGTTTAACTTCGGCCTTGACCGACTCTCGCAG